CTTCCCAGGGCCTGCGTGACCCTCTGACTGACCCGCGCGCGGCTTCTGCCCGTCTTCCACGCGCGCTTCCTCCAAAGCGGGAGCGGACCCGGACGCCCCTGGGCGGTCGGGCTGTGGGTCTGCGCCCCAGTTTGGCGCTCGGGGCTGTCCTGCAGCCCTGCGCCTGCTGAGACCTTCCTGGGCCTACGAATCGCAGAATGGGGATTATGAAGACGGGTTTCCCCAGGTTCCCGCGGGAAAGGTGGCCGACGTTCTCTGCTGCCCCAGAGCTGGCAGGGCTGCGTCTCCCCCAGACCGAGGAGCAAGAGCAACGCTGCGGAGCGCACGTGGTGAGCGGGCGAGGCGTGGAGCCTTGCTCCTCGCTTCTCGTTCCAGAAGAACGTGGAAACCCCTATTTGCTGGAATCTGTCCGAATCACAGAAGGTAAATGAAATATAGTGGGAGGTGGTTCCTCGCTGCGCTGAAGTCTTGGCGGAGCCCAGATTCCCGAGCCAGGAGGAGCCAGCACCTCGGCGCCTGGAGTTGACTGGACTGGTGAACCAGCTTTTGGGAGGGCTCCCTTGAGCAGAGAGCATCCGGTGTGTTCAGGCAGTTCGGTTAAAGGGTAGTCAGTCAAAACTGAGACCTGCTCTGAGTTGAAAAGGCCAGAAAATGTGAGTTTTCTTTATTCCAGCCTGTGGAAAGGAAGAGGCATAAATCTAATGGCTGTTGTTTTTTATGCTGGTCTTGGAGGACCCTTCGAACAGGCCCAGTCAACTTAATTCACAGCTTGCAAATAAGCCTCCCTCGGCTTGATGAATAAATTGATTTGAAATGCAGCCTGTTCTGAAACATTTAGTTTTGAATTTTTAGAAAAGCAATTTGAAACGTTTGCATTTCCATTGAATTTGTATTTCCATTTGAATGCAGCTTGACACATATCACAGCTAAATCATTCACCAGGATCTAATAATTAAGAAATGTGTCATACACAGTTTTCTGAGTTATAGAATGGAAATCAAAAGTCATGATAAACAGTATAATTGCTTCAATAACTAAAATACATATTTGCTGAACAGGAGAAGACTCTTGTTAACAAAAAAGTGTAACATTTTCTGTAAAGGCCGTCAACACTTACTTAAAAATCAATGCGTTCTTGACACAGCACGTTGTTGCCAAACAAAAATATTTCTTTAGGGAAAATAACTGAATGCATTCCTTAGGGACAATCCCTACAAAGAACAGATGTGAAAAAAATTAAAAATCAATTATTTAGGTAGAGGTTTCCATGTTGTCATTATAAATTATGTTTACATTTGAAGCTTTGTATAACATTGGTTTAAATCCATATACTGTGGTTTTCTTCCTACAGCGCCTTAACAGATTTTCCTGAGGTAGTTCTCAAGGTCGTGGAAGAAAAAAGGCAAAAACTCTGAACACAGCATACGCCCCTTCCAGAGGGGAACTGAAGGAAAGCATCTGCCTCTCCAAAGGGATATGTGGAGAGAAAGAGTCAGCCAGACTCTGTCTTTAAAAAAACCGGGGCAGCTACAAGTAATCCTGAACTTGGGTAATTTATAGCTAATTTAGCAGTTGCTTCTTGAGGTTCAGGTTCCTCCACTTGTCCGACATATGGGCTGGGCATGAGGATGAGACACTCTGCACCCTTCCCCTGGATAAACCCAGCAGCTGTTTGGTCAGAGGACAAACTGGAAGCAGCTGTCGTGTACCCAGAGGGATGCAGGACCGTTACGTTTCCCGTGTTGCGTTAGGAAGGTGGTCTCGGGCAGCGAGGCTCCGCCGTGCTGGTGTGGGGTTGCGTTGCAGGCGGGGGTGTCTGTGGTTTGGATGGGGCGCTCTCCCCGTGGGAGAGCGGAGGAGAGCAGGGCGTCCGAATATGGCGTTTACATCAGTCCGCCCGCTTGTCAGCACCGTGGCCCGTCGTCTCACCCTGTCACGCAGCTGTTGCTTTCGGGTTGAGATGTGACAGTACTTTGGTGGTTGGCCAGGTGATTTGCGTAGATATGTCAGGGACCAAGCGGCCAGTTCATGGAAGTTGGTTTAGCTGCACGGAAGTGGCTGGACGTAGGTCCCTCCGCCCTGTCTGACCCTCTGAGCCATGTGCACACCTCCCCTTGTTCCTTAGATGCAGCAGGGAAAAGGCGAGTCTGGCTGGTGGGCACACCTCCTGGCCGATGCTCTGTGGTGCCGAGTCCATCTCCAGAATGACGCTCGTTTGGTGGGAGCTCTTCTGGAGACGCTTTTGGGTAGCGATGTGGCTTATGCTCCGTTGTGGCAGAGGGGAGGTCCTGGCTGGCCACATCACAGCAGGTTTCTGCAGAACAGGACAGCACAGGGAGAACAGAAATAAAAACACCCAGGGTTTGGCACCGTTTGCTGCACAGCTTGACGGGGGCTCAGCAGCTCTGCGTGCCCCGCGCCGGTCTCTCCTCGACTGCGACGGTGGCCGTTGTGCCCCCTGCTCTGCCGGACACGTCCCCACCTTCGCAGAGAGCACGTTCCTGCCACTTCACTCACCGCTTGGAGGTTCACAAGGTGCAGGATGGTCTCTGTCCCCACCGCCCTGTCTGCCGTCCCTCGCTAGAAGTGTGCCTTCCCGTTTTTTCTGTGTCCGTGCTTGTATTTAATCTGTTGGAGCAGAATCCCTGGTCCTTGTTGGGAGTCGGACAGCCAGGCCGATTTTCGAAGCAGCAGGCTGGGCAAGCGTGAGCTCACTCTCCCTGCCTTAGCGAAAGCCTCCTGGTGGTGGTGGTGCCACCCCTGTTTTCCCACCAGTGCTGGAAGACTTTGCTGTGCTTCTCTGTGGCTGTATGAGCAGATAAGACTTGGAGGTGCTGGTCTGCAAAGATTTTGCGAGTATGAGCAGAGGCTACTTGTCTAATTTATGAATGAAGTGCTGGCATTAAGATCCATGCACCACAGAAACAAAAGGAACATTATTAGGCACCTGGTGGGTAGAAGGAGAGACTAGCTTCGGTCTTTTGTTGCGTGCTGATTTCTACAAACGCAACCAACACCCCCATCGGCGTGTGAGCCCTGCAAGTCTTTCACGGACGAGACCAGAGGTTCCTGCTCACAAAACCCCTTCTGCCAGTGGGGAGCACTATGCTGTTGTTTAATAAAAGCAGAAGGAGCAGTCCTGCTGGAGAGGCAGGCTGATAGGGTCATGCTTGCTCCCAATCCTGTCTTCGCAGCGCTGCTGACCGCAGTGGGCTGCTAAGGTCCAGCTCTGGCCAGAGGGATCTGAGCCAGCTCAGGCACCGAGAGGTTCTGTTAGACCTGGAGGTTTACACTTCAGATTTGAGTGGTGTAAAAAGCCCACCAGGGAACTCACATCATCTGTCCAAAGTGTTTAATCACGTGGCATAACTGCTGAAGAGTGAATGCTCACTGTCTTGCTGCCTACAAAAGCAGGATGGTAGTGCACTGTAGTACCAGCCTGTTGTACCATGCAAACTGAAATAACTGTCAGGATGCTTTCTAGGTGATCTTCAGTCCAGTGCTTCCTCTGTCACGATGGCAGTGTCTCTTTGAGCGTGAAATACATGGATTAAGACTATCTTGTTGTTTGTGATGTTCTTTATAGTCACATTATCTTCTCGTTACCAGAGGGATTGGATCTGAGAATTGAAGATTATGGTGTGGGTTATATTAACTTGGAAAATATTACACAAGAGAGTCTGTTTCCTTGGGAAATAAGTAGGGCGCTTTGTGCACCAAGGACGCCAAGGTCTTGTCCTTGGAGGTTCCAGGTGACTCTAGTCACCAGGACGATGCGGTGCACAGCTCCGACGATCTCAGGGTTGCTGGTCGGGGCTGAAGCTTGCCTGCAGTACTCGTGTTTTGTTTTGTGCTTGTCCCTTTCAGGGTTCATAATCAGGCAAGTTCCAGTCTTAAATAATTTTACTGTATGTTTATGACTGACTCTCTTAGTGGATTCTTCTTCTGCCTGGTGAAATCAAGTGTTTCATACTCCTTCTCCAAGCTGATTTATGTAAACTGCTCCCTGAGCTCGCTGGGTAGAGGTCAGATTTTGACAGAGAAGTTTTGTTCTGGGTACCATATCCAAAATGCAGATGGCTGCCCGCTGCAGAGGCCGTCCGTGTGGTGCAGAGGCTGCAGCGTGACTTTGCCAAGGCTTTACATTTCAGATATAGCTTACCTGCCTCGTTTCCATTTTAGCCTCGTTTTCCATGTGTGCCACCTTCTGAGAGATGCGTGAAAAGTGAGAGCCAACAGTTATAGTTAAAATCAGGAGCCTCCCCAATTATTTGGGTTGATGAAATGAACTCTGCCCTGCAGATAGGCACAGAAATGGTTCGGCTGGTCGAGGAAGCTTCCTGGGACTGTCTCCTGCGTGCCAGTGCAAAGACAGTCCCGCAGGGAAGCGGCAGACGTTTCGAGCGCAGCTCCAAGCTGAAGCGTTCTTCTGACACAGCACTGACAGCTAAAAAAGAGCCGCGGGCTAGCCTGGGCCTTGTTCTGGTATAGGCAGGGTTTCAGATGCAGCTAGGACCCCATGCAGGATGAATAATGATCAGTAGAAACATGTAAATAGAACATTTGGAATGAAAAAGAAAATTTAATTTAGAACATTTGTAAATGGATTTGTGCAGCTGTGCTTTGTAGAGTTATTTGTCCTAACGGAGCTGGGAGGGAGCCTCTATTTAATTGCCTGTGTGTTGCCATCTCAGCTAAAAAGCCCATGCTGCTCCTCTTAGAAGCTCTTGTCAGCTGTATGTTGAGGCTGTGCTAGATCTCCTTGCCCTCTCATTGCCAGGGTTGTTTGGAAAACCCATTGTCATCTGCTAATGTTTATTTAAATCTAGATGAAGATCAAGTTCCCATATGTGTTTACCGTGGACATGTCCCTGTTGTTCACACTGTGCACCATACTCTGCCATCTCAGAGATGCTATCTTGCCTCTCCGCCTCCAGTAGTTACACACGAAAACAAGGCATGGTCAGTTTAGAAACATATTCAAGGCTATTGAGAAAGAGAAATAAATTCAGTGTACAAGGCTGCATGTTTACAGATTAAACTGCTCAAAGCATTTTAAAAGATGGGATGCTTTAAAATTTCCATGCAGACCACGTTATCTGAATCAGTGCAGCTCAGTGGCTACAGATTAAAGATTCAGTTCAACTCTTGTTGAAGTCAATGGCAATAAAACAGGTATGTGTGAAAGGACATAAGGCTCATGCTTAAAATATACAATTGTGTTCTTAGCTAAACATGGTTCTTGCACTTAGATATGAGTCACAGATCTTTGTTCAGGCATGAGCCATGCAATTCCATTGACATGAAGCCAGCTATTTTTAATATTTTGTTAGCAAATGTCATGTACAGAAGATAGCATTTTAAAAGCAACGTTTACTATGATAACATCACAGTTATCTCAGATATGATAGTACTTGAAATGACTGGAACAGGGTTCTATATCATCTAAGTTTGCGTGCAAGTGCATTTTCAATTCATGAATTGGTATCTCCTTGAGCGCTATTGCCAGACAGTAAGATTTTCAGCTGTAGCATGGTAAAGGTGCAAAAGCAGCAGCCAGACTCCCCAGAGAGCGGGAAGGAGTGTGAACAGAAGAGTGCGGTGCTCCAGGGACTCCCAGCTGAGGGGTGGTCAGCAGGGACGTAGTCAGCTCAGCGGGGGTGAATGGCAGCGGCCGTGGGTGTGGAGGCAGATCCCAAATTAGTGATTTTTCTGAAGGCTGGTCCAGCTGGTTCCAGGTGTTTAAGCGTTGTTTACACTGTGCTGTAGCAGGCATGTTTCTGCAGGATGCGATTAAATCCTGGAGCTAATTCCAAGCCCACTGGTGCAAACATTAATGCTGTGCAGCTCGATTAATGAGCTGGTGCAGTGGTGGGAGATCTGAACAGTCAAAGCACAGCCATGTAAAGAACCGCGCTGTGGCTTTTCGCTTCAGTCTGCTGGGTTGTTCTGTGCTAAAATTACTGTCATGGTTGCAGCGTAAGATTCAGTAAAAATTTAAGAGTGAAGGGGGTGGTAATTGTGTGTGTTCGGTTATATCAGACTGACGGAAAACAAGGAGTAAAACCAGTGCGCATAGTGAGTTGCTTAACTAATTAATCTTGTTGGAGCAGGTAGGAATAGACCGCAGGAGCCATGCGTATAAAGAAACAAACATACTTTTTCTTGGTCTGTCTTAGGAGTCAGAAGTTCCGGGCCCTAGAAGAGAAGGGCATTGTATTTATTGCGCATCCTTGTGCCTTGGCTCCTTTTGGATAGGATGTACTTTTTATTGCTGAGATGGGAACTTTCTTTGTGAGTTATGAGATGTGGTTGATTTTTCTCTTATCCGTGATTACCCTTGATTTTCTGGGTATGTTGTGAAATCCAGGCTGTTTGGTGAAATTAACTATTGACAAACCAATGCTTCAATTGCAAAATTATAGTTCCTACTCTACAGAAAGACTTGCATGTGTCATGGGCTAAGGCAAGCTGTATTAATTTCCTTAAAGAACACTTCTGAAATGACAGTAAAATCCTTCCTTTGACAATAAGGAGGATATTGAGGTTGTTTTTATGCCCCTCTGAAAGTTGCTGTGCTCCGTTGTGAGCAGCCCTGACCTTGGCCTTCAAGTGGTGAACTAAGGCTGGAATCTCTGCCCGACGTCATTGCTACACAAGTTGTGTCTGCTTGCATGGTGCTATCTCTGTTCTTTGGGTTTCTCAGTTAGTGTGACACTTGCCATATATTGTGCAGACTCCGTTCATGTGGTTTGGAGTCCCCCACAAGGCGCTCAGCACTTACTCTTGTCAGATCTCAGTATTTCTGTGGCTCTGTGGGTGGGTGAAATCAGCAGGTGCTGACAGAGTGAAACATCCGCTTCATCAGAGGAAACGTTTTGGGTATCACATCATGAGCTTTCTGCTTAGCAGTCCTTTCTGTTGCTTGTTCGGAGGTGTAGGAATTGTAAATACTGTTGGTCATTCAGGACCCTAACAAAGGTAGGGTGTATAGGACTCTGCCCATAAATCTTATGTTCCACGCATCCCTGCAGCCTCCGTAAGCCGCCTTATGGAGTTACTTCCTGTATATTTTGAGAGCTCCTTTAAAGTGTTTTCTTGGAAGCTGGCGGGAAAGCAGATCGTTAAAGGTAGCTTTATCATGGCTGGCTCTCAGTCAGCTACACTTTCCGTTATCTTTATTTTACAAGGCTTATCTTTTTTTTAAAAAAAAAAAAAAAAGTCATATGGTACCTCCTGGAAATCAAGGGCATACTTGGGCAAATCCTTTCAATTCCTTGCATAGTGACCGCCAGCAATAAAGGTGCAGGAATAGGTCACAAATTGTACGATCTCATAGTTCAGCGTGGGTACAGCCTCGTCGCTCAGGAGGTCTGTTGTCGTTCAGGGATGACAGTAGAGCAGCTGCTGTAACATTAATCTTCAGACATGATGGGGCACTCGACGCTAAATGCTTCCCTTGTGTAAGCTCCCTGAAGGCAGCAGTGTTACGCCAGGGATGAACTTGTCCCACAGCCAGTACTAACCTTTACTGTACGCCAGTTCCTCTCATTTCCATCTATAAGTGGACAGCTAAGAACACGATTGGCTCAACACTTCACCGCACTAGTACGTGCCCAAAACCCTGGAGTGCCCGCTGGAGGCTCAGCCGAACATCTTTTATAGGTACACTTCTATAGATGCACGAGATGCACATACACACGAAGGTGTGTGTGTACTTGCACAGCTTTTCTCATAGAGAAATAACTGCTTAGATGTGGTGTTTCAATCCGGTGCCACTCAAGCCTTAACTGCTAACCTGCTTTACAGCTTTAAATAGTTAAGCCACAAAAATACACCATGATCTTTTTGGGTTCCTGCTAATATCATCAAGACAGCTGCTGTTGAGAGAGCCACTTCTGCTTGTTTGCCATCTGAACCATATTGTACAAGGAATAGGGAAGGCGTATCATGGAAAAAGAAAAATTCATCTTTTTCTGAATGCATAGAAAGGAGAAAAAAGGTAACATCCTTAGAGGAGAGATACGGTATGGCTGGAATCTTAAAAATTACCGGATAATTAAGAGATTTTTAGCAAAACTTTTTATTTCATGCTGCCTGTAATTTCTTAGTAGTGTTCACTTTACAGTAGCACCTAAAATTGAGTATCAAGGCCCTGTTGAGCAGGATTCTTGTGTAGACATGGTCAGGAGGAAACAAGTGGTGCCTGGGGACCTTATTACGTGCAGGACGCTAGGATGGTTCTGGGAGGGCAAAGTGGACTGCTGGGATGAGGAAGGCTCGGAGGACAAGATAGGGAGATGTTTGTTGCATCAGGACATGCATAAACTATGGCAGATATGTTGCAGCAGACGGTATTTCCTCCAGTTAATCAGCAATTCAGAAAAAGCCTTGGAAATAGAGACCGTCAGGGAAGGATAGTTCAGCAGCCTTTATAGGTGAGTCACTGATTCTGATTGCTACTGCTAAAAAGATAAAAAGTTGCTCGAAAATATTTCTTGCTTTAAGAGCAGGATAAAATTCCTGCTCCAGTTATTAACCTACAATTTAGGTGGAATCTGCATAGCTCTGAGCTGAGGAATATAAGATAGCAGCACCCTTGGAGGATGCTGCTATCTGGCAGCAAGATCAGAAGACAAAGATGAGCCTCATTTTTTGATCGCACTAATTGTACCATTTCATACTTTACTTTTGCAGTTAGAGTTTTAGAAAGGACGCATGTATTTCAGCAAACATGGTCCTTGCACATCAAGGGCAAACTGCAGTTGTACTCTGTTAATTGAGTTAGGTTTTTTAGTTGAAAATAAGCATCCCAATTAGTTGTTCGTGTGATGATAGCAACAGTCTCTTAAGTCCTGTCTGCACAATAAAGTGCTTTTCAGCTTATGTTGTTGTTCAAACCAGTCAGACAATCATCTGCTTGTGAGGGCATGCTTTTTCTAGTTTGAAAGCTGTCTTTCCTCCGATTAATTTGTGTCTTTTGAATGAAGGAGAATGGGCAACTTGAACCAAAAGAAGCTATTCTTCCACCAGAATTAGAACGTCTAAACAAAAGATTTTAACCAGGCAGCTGCCTTTGAGTGAGCATATCAATGTGCCTGCCGCAGTTCTCCTTAAGACTTCTTGATCTTTAAGCTCTTCCCCCACGAGCAGTTTTACTGATGTCTCCGGGACCGCAGCTTGCGCCAGCGGAGGATGGAAAACCTCGTCGCGTTTTGCGAGTGCACGGCAGGGAAGCCGGCAGCGCGCTCGCGGGGCGGCGAGGCACCGGTCCGGGACAGACTGCTAGGGACACGCAAACTCGAGTGGAAGAGCTGGTGATTAGGACAGAGGGTTTTTGTCTTCTCTGTTGTGTGTCTACACTGGCGGCCCAAATGGGACTTTTCTTAGTAGAAAGTTTTTCCCAAGTTGAGGAGTCCTGGCACTATCGCATCCACTGGTAATATAATTTGACTTCTGTGAGCTTGCTCGTTATGGTTATGTACTCAAACATTCAAACAATACCAGAAACCAAAAGCAGGTATAATTTAAAGCAAAAAATTACAGTGACTTATTGATTACTAGAAGTTAATTGCCTAGTCCAGAGTTTTTATAAAGAGCCAGTTTTAGTTAATAATTTAAAACATTGTTTTCCATACTGCCTGGACACGCGTTGGGTTGTAATTCTGATAAGTGCTTCTGCTGCCACCATATCTTCCAAAAAGCTCCTCTCAGTATATCTGATCACAAAAATACGTGTCGTGCACAATGTGTGTCAGAAGGGATCTGCTACCGGGCATTAGAGAAGAGGTCCAGGCGTGCAGATTAATAGGGGGAATGTGACAAACGCGTGGTAAGAGAGCAAGTTGTCAAAGCATCTTCCTCCATACTGTTCTCAATGTAATTGACGGTTACTTTACTTAAGCCTCGTGATAGAGGGCACCGTGGAGCAGCTCTGCTTTGCAGAAAGGTGCTGGGCTGCCTCCTGGCAGGTGAAATCCTTCCCAGGTGCCTGGGATGGTGCAGACGTGGTTCCTGTCCTGCACGTTCGCTGCTCCACGGGAGCTGCGGGCTTTGCTGGGCAGGGGGTGGTAGGAGGTGTGGGACGGCTCCGACTCTGAGCTCTCCGGTGCCGTCTCCATCCCAGCATTTGTTTGGCATCCCTTTGGGCTGTGCAAGAGCCAGAGGAGGCGCTTTGTGCTCCCCCACACCGGCTTGAATGAGATCATGTCAAGACGGGAAGTTAGGGGCCGCGGCAGCAGGCGGAGGAGACGCAGATCTTCACGGGAGTCAGTGCTCTGCATCACTTAGGAGCTGTTTTCCATCCCAGTCCTTGCTTCCAACTACCCAGAATGAAAATCATAAAATGTCTCTTTTGTATGACAGAGCTGATGAGTGGAAAATACGAAGATAAATGATCCACAGCGACCCACATCCAGCAGTTAATTCTAATTATTATATGATAGCTCCTGCACGTTTTATTTTTTGCATCAGGAGTTAGTTCCTGCCATTCAGTGATCCGTTGGCCAGCCCTCTGCTCTGGACGCAGGGCCGGTCTGTGGCAAGGTCCCTGGTGACGTTATTGCGAAAGTGCTGTGTGTGACTGGTGAGAAGTAGTGGCACAGCGCCGTTAGTCACGGGATGGGTATAAACAGGAGTCTGCCGGCATGTATTCACAGCAAATGTGTTGTGTTTTCACCAGAGGTTCCTGGCTTTATTTAGTAGTCATGTGGATAGACAGACTCCTAGAAGAAAGTTCTGTCTAGCCGTTGTTGTGTATTCAAAGAGGGAATGGGTAGAAAAGCAAAAAGAAAAGAGTAGCTTAAGGGAGTTTGATGGCTTGGTAGAAGAACATTTTTTTAAGTTAAGAATCAAAAGAATAAATTCATGTATACTGAAGTGACAACAATGACTTTAATGGATTTGGATCAAATAGCTTAATGAGCATGGGAAGTCCGCCTTTGATGTGAGTAGCCTCACTACTGAAGCCAAAATTACACTAACAGTACGACAGCCAGTCCGTGGTCTCCCTTTTATAGGCAGTGCAGTCACCTGGCAGTTAAAGGCACCGTGCCTGCGGGTTCTCCCAGTTACACCCTGTACCTAGGGGCCATGTCCAGAGGGGGATCCCCGCACAGACTTCCTGCGTGTTCAGAGCGAGGCTTGGCTCGTTTGTTTCCTGCCTTCTTTCGGGTTGATGCTTGGTTTGTCACGTCTCTCAAATTTGGGGCTTTGCCATGAATGTTCTCCCAAGCACCATCCACTGTGCTCACCGGTAGCTCGTCTTAACCTTGTTTGCTAATCCCTTCCCTTGTTCTCTTTCTGTTTTACTCTGCAGATTGGATACTGGCTGTGAACATGTTTTGCCCATTGACTATTACTTTCCACCTCAGAAGACTTGCCTGATCTGTGGTGATGAAGCATCTGGGTGCCACTATGGAGCACTCACTTGTGGCAGCTGCAAAGTCTTCTTCAAACGGGCAGCTGAAGGTAATGTGTATACAGAGAAGAGGGCAAAATCACTCTCATCCCCAAGTGCTGGGTTTCTCCACCAGAGTAGCCTAAGAGCCAAGCACTACTGACATGAGTTCTTCATTAGCAGAGAAGTGTTTAACATACAAGCACTGGAGGCATTTGCAGCATCATGATATGTTTTCCTCCTGTTGATGTTAAGCAGCCTTACTTGCTCTAGGGAACCTGCCAACCCAAGGAGACCAGGGTCAGAGGGGTAAGGACAAAGTGTGGTGGATCTCTAAGGCCTCTTAAACCGTTAAAGGAGAAACTTCATGGATAAACTGATTTCTTTGCCATATGTTTGTCATTCCGTATTATGTATCACCCTCAAGAAGTAGCCAAACCAGTATGCCATAACACAGTCCTTTCCAATATTTGATTATGTAAGTGACCTAGTTAGGCTCCAGAGTAGTCAGTTCCTGCTTTTCCTCTTGACTCTCGAGGGTTGTCTAAATTCCCATCAGCTCTCCTGTGATCTTAGACGCACAAGTCCTAATTTACAGGATGCTATCCCTCTCTTGCTGCCCCTTCAGAGGATCGCTTCTCTCAATACCCGCAGAACAGCGGCACTTCTTGTACAGCACAATCATGTCTGCCAGGGTTTGTACTCTGCCCTTTGTGTCCACGGTCCTTCTGTCCAACCTTTGTGAAAGCAACTTCCCCTTCACGTCCAGCTGCGTAGTGTCAGGCTCTCCAGGGAGAAGTGTGAGCCCAGATACTCCCTCACAACAGACACAGTCTTTACACTATCTTTCCTCAGTAATTAGAATGTAGAAGGAACTAGTCCAGCTCTTTTCTGAGGCTGTTGGGTCCGTAATTTCAGGCTTTGTAACTACACTTAAGAATAATGATTCCTTGGCAGCAGAGTGAGACTGTTTGTTGCGGAAGCTTAACTGTCCGTTAATGTAGTATGCCCATAAATCACACTTCTGACTTGTCTTCTGGAGTGTTCAACCAATACAAATCCTAATTCTTCCTCAGTGTAAAAATAATTTATTCAGTGCACCAGCATACCAGACATCAGTCTTGCAGGCTGTGATATCCCTGGAAGAGGGAGGCAGTGCAGTTACCAAGCTAGTGACCAGCACTGGGAATTGGCACTCGTTGGCTTCTGTCCTTGACTTAACATCCTGTGAACCTTCGCTTGTCCATGTCTTTCTTTACCCATCTGTAAAATGGAGGGAGTTTGGCTTGGTAGAAAAACATTTTTTTAAATTAAGAATCAAAAGAATAAATTCATCTGTACTGAAGTGACAAGCAATGACTTTAATGACTTAAGGATCAAATAGCTTAATGAGCTGAAGTGAAGTGAAGGTGAAGCCTGCATTGTGCTGTGGCATTGCCTAGGCTATTAGGAACAAGGAAGCAACGTTACGCTTACAAGGGTGGGTAGAGGTGTTAAAATCAGCCCATCACGCATCCACCCAAACTAGTTAATTCATTGTCACAGACTGATGGATTCTCACCTGCCTTTGACAGAGCACTGCTTCTAGACTAATTCCAGAATTATCGAGTACGTTTTCAGAGCTTCATTTTCCTTCATGCCTCATGCATACCAGGAGCGGCTCCTTTGAACCTGCCTGCATTAGCTCAGAGAAGAATCAGGACTGTGTCATGGAGGACTTTTACACCAAAAACATCCACTTGCCATACTAATAATATTAAAAGATAGTAAGTTTGGCATTTGAAATAAAATCATTTAAAGGTATGTCTCTTTACTGTACACCAACTCTGTGTAAGGCCAAATGGGTTGGCTGTGCAGAGTAAAGAACACAAGTCTGATTAAGCCAGCAAGTTATTGCCGCTTTATAGTAAGCGGAGCTTTGGCTCTCTTTGTCAGATAAAGCGTTAATGAAATATTTCGTGTCAGCTGATGAATGCCGGGGCAGCACTCCTCCTTTTAGATCAGGGTTGAATCTGTCCTGCGTAGTGGAGAGTCGTGCAGATAAGGGCTGTGAGTTGCTTGGTCGGGGAGAGAAAGGGAGACAGAGAGATTGCAGCCTGGCCTGCTCGCGCTGCTCTTAGTCATATGTTGTGTGTCGTTATTCCCTTCCTTGATTGTGTTAGATCATGAATTTAAACAGTATTTACTCCTCTTCTTATTTTTGAGCCTCAAGGTATAGCAGGGGGTCAGAAGTTTTTGGTTGTGTAGGATCTGATAGCAGTTGTCAGAGGCGTAAGGCTGCTCACAACAGCCCTTTTTCTTTTCCTTGGATCACACCGTGGCCTGAAACACATCTGCAGTGGAGTGTGACACAAGTCGGGAGGGAGAAACTGCCTTCTGCTGGAAAACTTTCTCGTCAGATTGGTCTGGCTTTTCTGTTTAGAAGATGAAACTGTAAATGAAATCTTCCTTTTGTAATTTCAGATATCAATTAATTTTATTTCACAGGATAGGCTTTGTTTGACAAACCCCTGGTGCTCGCATGGTTAAAAGCCTCTTAGCTGGCTTCCTGTTAGAAAGCTTCCTTGGCTGGGGGACTGGCTGCAGAAATGCACTTTCCTCTGGTATGGCGTTTTGGCAGTCGTGTTCCCCACACCTCTCAAGGAGCTGAGCTGCCCCGGTCTCGGCACAGTTGTCCTCAGCTCCTTGGGGAAGGGTTTTTGTACTGTGCTTACACCTGACAGCTATTTTTGCTTGAAAAAAAGATCTCTATTCTGGGAATTTTTTTTATTTATTTTTGTTCAAGGATGATAACTGACAGGTGCCCCCTTCACAAATGGGAAGGCTGGTGGGTCTCGTTTGACAGAGCATCGGAAGCATGGGAAGGTGGTCTGCTCAGCCCGTAGAGGGGATGGTGGCCGGGCGCGCAAGCGCTTGTGGTTTCTTGGCAGCCGAATGAACCCCGGCTGCAAACGCGGAGGATGGAGAGGAGGGAAGAGAGAAGTGCAAGTGAAGGCAATAGTCCTCGGTGAGCTGGTGACTTGAAAAGCTAGGAAGCTTCCTCATCCAGCTCTTGTGGATAATAGGACTTATTCTGGGGGCTGCACCTCTGTACTAAACTTCCAGCAGCTTTGTTTCTATTTATCTATCTTCTCTGCTTTCTTAGCTATGTTCTTCCTGCAATTTCCAAGTTCCGAAATGATTTGGGTGAGTATTATAAAGAAATTAATAGGAAGCCGTTTCTTTGGATTTAACCAAGTCATGGGGCGCCAGCAAAGGCAGAACTCTTCATGGTTTTGTGCCTCTGAGTCTTTGGCAACAAAATGCAGCGTAAATGTATTTTATGTGTTGAATAATTAGACCTAGGGAGCATTAAGTTACGTCTTACGTTACCCTGAGGTGCATGGGTTATAGTCTTTGTTTTGGGAAGAGACAATAAATCAGGCTCATTTGTAAACAGTGAACACAGAGTAATGGTAGGTGATGATTTCTGTCTTACTCTTGCTGATTTTCCAGCCAGACCTTTCCCTCTTCAAGATGAGGAACAATCTTGAAAGCTGGTATTTCAGTGTGTTCTTAGGTTTTAAAGTCCATAAAATGTATCTCTGAAAACCTTAGGGCACCTTTTGACCTGCAGTGGTAAAATGTTTCCAAAAGCTTCATGGATTAAAAGAAATCTTTCCTTTCTGCCTTTGTTTCCTTCCTGTTACTAATGTAAACCAGCAGCTTCCAAAAGGCAGGAGAAGCAATGTACTGTGAACTGAAGAGCAAAACAAACAGATCAGCTCGTAGGTAACGGAGAATAACTAGACTCATAGTTTTCCAACTTTTCATATTTTTTAGCTGATATAGTACTGAGTTTATATGGCAATAATTCGGGGATATTTAAGGTTTTTTTGCAAGCTCAAGTCCATCCAGTTCTTCCAACAAGGTGCTGGAAGAGCTAATAGGAAAGACATGAATATTTTACTTGTCCTCAGTCTGTAAGGTATCTGGGTTTGTGAACTCTCCCAAGACATACATACGACCAGGTTAAATACAGGCAAACCCTAAGACCTACCATGCAGATTCTTCAGCTCTGATGTAGACTTAAAAGATGGAAAGCCTGATTTTTTTGTAGTCATACATATGACTTACTGCTCGACGTTCTGACCTGCTATGGATTAGCCTTTCACCAGAGCAATGCATTAGGGCCAACTCAACAGCTTCTTGCCAGTTCTCAAGGTGACAAGTTTAAGTGAACTATTTTCAATGATCATCACCATGTTTTAAAATTCTTTCTTCTCCTTCTCTGGCTGATCTGACAGTATACAAAAGAGTCTGCAGAATGCATTCTTGTTAATACAGCACCATGATGTTCCTGCTTCGATGGATGGCTTCTCAGTCTGCTTTGTGCTCTCTTGGCCTTAAAGGTCAGTGCGAAGAGCAGAAGGTGGAATATGCAGAACTGCCAAACCTCAGGCACTCCTAGTACAGCCCATTGCATGTCTCCTGCTCTATCTGCCAGGTGAAATTGCTTTTCTCTCCCTCTGCCTTCCTTAGACAAGCTCCCTTCAGCCCAGCGCAGTGGCGCTTCTCTTTGGGTGACCCAGTACATCAACATCCACTTCTCTGCGTGACCTGAGGGACAAGGTCTCTCTGTGCTGTTCTGGTAACTGGCAGCTACTCAGTGCTTCAGTTGTCACTCAAGCAAATTATCTTGTCTGTTTTTCCATCTGTGAATAGTCAGACATGACGTTGGTTGGAGTTTGAAGCGAGCGCTTTAACTTTGAACAGTTTAGAGAACTAAAACATTGTGGTATTATCTTGTTGCCAGAGAGTTGAACAGTTAAAAGTGTTTTTGCTCACTGGATTTAAGCTTCTTTAAAATATAGCTTCTTAAATTTGCGCAGTCCTGTAGTTACTTATTTTTACCTTGGCTTGCTTCGGCCTTCTTATTGCTAGATTATCTGCCTATACTGAGCTGTTGGCTGCACATGCTACTGGTATGCCAGCATCTGTAGCTACTGCCATACTTGTCTAGCTCTGCCTAGCTAATGGTTTTGCTTGTGGATCGTCATTTTTGGTTCCCTGGACAAGTTCCTTTTTGCCCTTCCAACAGCCAGCCTCCCATGCTGAGCCTGCTACCACAGGCTGCTAAAATCCCTGCCCCAAAAAAGAACGGGAGAGTCCATGCCTAACATTGCACTGTGCCAGAATGGTGCCAGAAAGTTTTCTTCTCTTTTCTTCAGTCTTTCAGTAATTAGGGGTGACTGTTAACAAAACTACTTTGCAAAGATAGTTTATTCATAGTGGCTTACCACTGGATCCTGAAAGCTAGATAGCTTTGTCCTCTTTGATTATTTCTAATGGGAGCATGTACTAGGAACTGTAAAGCAGTCCCAGTATCAAACCGGTAGACTCAGCTGTTGCCATATCCCAGTTCAGAACAGTTGATTACAAATTTGTCAGCTTGTTCTTAAATGAAGAGAGTAAATGATCCTGAAATTTAAAAACCTCTCTGTGTATGAAAAGGTACTTAAGGGAGATGGAGCCATTTTGTGTTTAAGCCCCTCTTCATTGTTCCCTGGGCTTTTATGTGCAGTAGCGCCTTATCTTTCATATATTTGCGCTGTGCTCAGACTATACTGTGATCCATATCGTTTCCAGTCCTGCCCGTCCCCATCCTGAAGCGGAAGCGCAGGGCGGGTGGGTGCAGTTGTCCCCGGGGAGCGGTGGCTGCCAGCCTGCCAGGAGACCTCCCGGTCAGGACGTGCCTCGCTCCACGTGGCGCAGGGGCTCCACGAGCGATCCCCCAGCCCGCGGGTGCGTTTCGTGAACCCTGTCCACAGCTGAGGATAGGGGTAGGAGAACTCCAGGTTTTTCCAGCAATTCAGAGGGAAGCCTCCATTTCCCGAGGGTTTAGCGCCGGATGAGCAGACAGCTTACTCTCACGTGGAGCAGAAAGAGATACGTGAATAATTTTTGTATTACCATTTTCCTCCTTTGTGTTAATAGCTAACAGCCTAAAATACAGAGTGCCAAAGTATGTACGTACAGTTAACAGAAAATCAGTTGTTGTCTGAAAGAGTTTATTTTGTGAACCAGGAAGTAAGCCCTAGCTATTGCAGCAAAATCTCTGTACCATGACCATTGGGCGAGTTGTTGACTGGAACTTAAAAGCTTGCATTCATCTGAGCCCATTGGCAAGGAAGTAAAATGTAGCAGAGATTTTTTTTAATACGCGCATTTTTGTGTATAATGATCCGAGAAGGCAGGCGAGCACTGAAGCAGCCCACCGCTCCCAGGTTGGTAGAAGACTGATCCGTCTCCCCGTACCTTCTCATCAGCGCAAAAAGTAATCGCTAATCGCTGCCGGCATCGTATACTGTCGCTTATTTTCCAGTGTATATCTCATGTGAATTGCTAGGCCTGATGCTCTCGCTACCACTGCCGAAGAGCTGCTGGAAACAGCACGGCTGCCTCCTCTCAAACGGCTTGGAATCCCCCCGCGGCCCCCGCGCGGGGGCCGTCCTTGTGCGGCTGGGGCAGTTACTGTGCTGCGTTACGTTAATAAAGCCAATTCACGCTCGACAGATTTGGCCTTTTTAAAGATTCTGAGCTGCTATTGTGGCAAAAATGTTGTAGTTTAGACTAGGAAGGCGAGATAGGGAAGGAGCAGGGGCCGGTGGGTGGAGACGGAGCGAGGTGGCTCCAG